TCTTCCACTGGGGATGGAGCCAGCAACAGGGCCTGTGCCCTGGCAAGGAAGCCAACCGAGACCTCTCAGTCCATGGGACACGGCTCCGTCCACTGAACCACACCCTCCAGGCTAAGTCCTGGTGTTTAATAGTCCAATAGATTTTTGACATTATAGCCACTGTTTCTTAAAACTTATTACTACTTGATAATATTTTTAATATGATGATTATAAGTAAAATGTATTGTTTATTCTAAACCCACATAAAATGATGTCATCTTTTCTCCTTGCCACTCTTTTTTTTTTGCATTTATCTTCAGAGAGAGCAGGAGGGAGAGAGGGAGAGAGAGAAACATCGACATGAGAGACACATATAAACTGGTCACCACCCACACGACCCCAACCAGGGCCGGGGACTAACTGCAACCGAGGTACGTGCCCTTAGCGGGAACCGAACCCAGGACTCTCTGGTCCGAGGGCCAACCAGCCAGGGCTCCTTGCCGATCTCTTAAAGTGTACATAAGAAAACAAAATATTTTAAGATAGAATAAATATGTTAGTGTCTTGGATCTCTCTTTTGGATTTGTAACCTGACTTTAAAAAATCATGGTATGGCCCTGGCCGGTTTGGCTCAGCGGTTAGAGCGTCGGCCTGCGGTCCCGAGAGACCCGGGTTCGGTTCCCGCTAAGGGCACGTACCTCGGTTGCAGTTTGTCCCCGGCCTTGGTTGGTCGTGCGGGTGGCGGCCACTCGATGTGTCCCTTTCACATCGATGTTTCTCTCTCTCTCTCCCTCCCATTCTACCTGAACAAAAAATGGAAAAATGTCCTCGGGTGAGGATTAAAAAGATAAATAAATAAAAAATCATGGTATGAAGCGATTCACCACAGTTACACCACGAGCCGCTCAATTCAGCTCCCAAGTCCCAGACCTGAACCGGCACCTGAGAGATCCGGCCGCCCTCAGTTATCATCTCTGGGCCAGGGGGCAGCAACCCTCCCTTAAAGGGCCAGGCACAGAGTACTCTAGGCTTTGGGAGCCCAGGCAGGTCTCTGTCACAGCCGCTGGGCTCTGCGTTGCAGCCCAGAGGCAGCCTCGGACGACGGGAAACCAAATGGCAAGGCTGCGTTCCAAAAACACTGACCTCTACACTCTGAAATTTGAATTTCACTTAACATTCACAGGTCACTAAATTCTTTTGATTTTCTTCAACCATTTAAAAACGTAAAACCATTTTTAACTTGTGAGTGGCACCAAAATAGGTCACAGGCTGGGTCTGGCCCCCTGGCCATGCTTTGCCAACACCTGCTCTAGACTCCCAAGTTCACGCTTCTTCAACCACAACGTTCACGTAAAAATCAGGTAAGAAGTAACCCCATGAGCCTGTTCTTATTAGCTCCACTTGAAGAAAACAGATCCTAAGGATGTCCAACTTTCACCAGAATTATACCCATAGAAATAACGTCACCCGTCACCCTCTCCTCACCACACACAGTGAACAGTTACGGGGTAGAAAACAGCTGGCAGTTGTCTTCATGGATGAAGTCAAGGCAGCTTATTCCTTTGCCAAAAGGCAGGGGAACCAGGTCTTGGTGCCTCTTCTCCCGTTGATGCTGAATGACTGGGAAGGACAAGCTTTGGCTTCAACATGGATTTTTAACTGGGAACCTCACTACTTAAAAAATTTTTTTAATGATTTTTTTTTTTTAAAGAACCTTGGCTTCTGCTGTTTTTACTGACGCTCATGTTAAAACCAGCAGTGCTGGAAACATTTTAAGTCTAGATTTCTCAATGGAAACCCCAGAAAATTCCTGTTTTATGGCAAAATGACTACCTACCTATCATTATACAGCCTGTTGGATCACCACAGACCATCTGTGATACCAGAAACATCTTAGACCTATTTCCCCAAAACTCTATTTTATCAGATATAATAATTTAGTTGATATAATAGCGAGTTTTGCTGAGGAGATCAAGAGAGAAAGAACTTATTTCTGAGGCTTCTTTTTAATTTTTGACAAGACATCCTTCTTTAAAATAGTCCTTTTGGGAATTTTGTAAATTTTGGCAAACATAATAAAAGAGAAAGCATGCAATCAAACAGCTTAACAGTTGCTTTGCAATTTATATCAGTAATTTTCTTCCCTTCCTTTCCATCAATATCAATTACATTTTTAAAATGTAACTATTTCCCACTCCACTGTTTATTCATTACAAAGGAGAAAAACAACAACAACACAATCATTATATAATGTGGAATCAGAAAACATCTTCACCAGGTGAAGGAAGATGGCCTTGGGGTCCCTCCAGATATGATACTCTGAGAAAAGAACATCACCTAAAAGTCATAACCTGAATCTAATCATGAGAAAACACCATGGAGAAAAAAAAAGGGAAATACTGAAGGGGAGGGCAGAAGGACTGCATGATTTTTTTAATGTCATAAAAGACAAAGAGAGGCCATGGAAATGTTCTAGACTAAAACAAGCTAAAGATGCATGAGATGCATGATAATTAAATGTGATATCTGACCCTAGAATGGATCCGATAGTGCAGGGGGAGTGGGGGGTGGCATAGTAGATAAAAGTAATATATCAATGTTAAATTTACCATTGTCAATATGTCATGATGTATGATGCATGTAACTTTCTACCAAATGGTTCAGAAAAAAATGATTATACGTATATATAGAGAAAGAGAGAATAAAGAGAGCAAATAATTAAGCTAAAGGTGTAAAATGTTAACAGTAGGTTTGAAGAATAAGGGATACATAGGTATTTTTGCAACTTTTCTATAAGTATGAAATTATTTTCAGAAAAGTTCTTGCCTACATTGGATGTGTAATTTCTCTCCATGATATTCCAAATACAACACAGGAAAAGATGCTTGCACCAAGTAACAAGAAAGTACAAAGATATTTTAACATGATCTTTTACCAGTGAGTGAAGCCTGCCAAAGCATTACCTACCACCCATTCTCAGCAGAGTCCATTGCAAAAATCAGCAAACATTGGATACCCTAGCAACTTATATGCGATCACCTCCTAGTAATTTCTCTCAACAGGGTAGAGATTCTAAAACTTTTTTGCATGCCACAACTTACAGAATTATCTCACACACAAAGCAAGTCTCTCAGCCAGTCTTAGGTGGTCTCTCTCAGTATCGATCAATTGGAATCAACCTTTTGAACTGGAGCATCTTAATATTTTAAGCCATGTCTAAGTAACTGGAGAATGTGTTACTAAGAAAGCAGAACCACCCCATCCAATATCCATGACTCCTCACCACTATTTCGAAACTGCTGTCAGAATCCCACAGCCTTAATGTCTACGACTCCATAATGGTGCCAACCTCCAACCTGCAATACACCATCTAAACTGCTATCCCCCCAAGTAATGCAGGGAACGGTGCCTAAGACCAAAAATGTAGGAGACTTTTCTATAAGTCAATCACTGGATAATCAAAAAGGTCATAACCAAAATTAAAATTTTCAGCCCGGCCGGTGTGGCTCAGTGGTTGAGCATCGACCCATGAACCAAGAGGTCACTGCTTTGATTCCTGGTCAGGGCACATGCCCAGGTTGTGGGCCTGATTCCCAGTGGAGGGCATGCAGGAGGCAGCCAATCGGTGTTCTCTCTCATCAATATTTCTATCGTTCTCTCCCTCTCTAACATCAATAAACAAAAAAAATATATTTAAAAAATTTTTTTCAGCCGTGCTTAGAAATTAGGAAATAACTATTCTCCAAAATACAACAAGAACAGAACATATGTATATTAATTAGTAAGTCTTTTCTATCCTTCCCTGTTTACAGTTTTATTATTGTCTAAATCCTAGAGATAGTAGTGACTATGTCTGGGTTAAAATAGCCATATACTAATTTTGGTTTTGTTTTTTTACCCTAGATATTCTCCTTATTATTCATTTTCCCCCACATTTCAATCAATAATTTTACTAAGAACCTACTTGGCATAAGATGCTTAGCCAGACATATTGGGTGGTACTCTCTACAGGAAAGAGTCCAGTGTTTTTTGTCTACAAATAATCCTCCAGAAAAATAATATGAAGACAATAAGTGCAATAAAGTCTGCTTGCCGAAAAGCATGAGGAGCCAGAAATGAATTATGACTGACTGCAAATAGGAATAAACTAGCCAAAGCACTAAAATTTAATGAGGATGATTTTAAAGGCAGGTGAAATTGAAGAGAAGTTACATGTAACATTATTATAGATTTAAAATTATGCCTATTCTTCTCCATAAAACTCAAATGCAGTTAAAAACACACACGTACAAAATAGAGCAATTATAAATCCTCTGAAGCATGTAACTGTGATTAGCTGCTACTCTCAGCAATATAAAAATACTTTCACCACAATTACATTCCAGCCTGTAATGTAATTCAAAACAAACAAGTCAGAGACATCGCTCAAATGGCAGAATCAACAAATACAGATGCTTTGCATCAAGGAAATGAATCCACTGAAGAAATGCAACTGAGAAGGAGTTGTGGTCCAGGACCTGGAGTGGGGCTTCTGGTGGAACGCTGAGGCCCCCTTCTGGGCAGATGCTGTGCACTGCAGCACGGTTCTGCAAAGCCCCACTTCAACCAGCGCCAGGCTTAGTCCGTCAGTGGGCGCGCCTGCTGTGGATACTCTTTCCAGGGCTGTGTTCATACTTCACAATTTCAGATTTTAAATTCTAAATCTGAATTTTTATAGAAAGAAAGAACTGTATTCGATTTCAGATCAAACTAACCATTCTACTTAATTATGCAACCAGCATTCCCACCACCAATGGCATGTCCATTCTTTTTGCCATAATCCATATCACCCTCTAATGTGCTGTGTACTCTCTTCTGTTTATTATCTGTCTCCCCGATGAAATGTAACCTCCATGAGGGCAGGATCCTTTGTTTTGTTCACTGATTCCCAGTAGAGTTGCTCAATAACATTAAAGAAGGAATTGTCTCATTTATACTTTATCTTTTATTTTTCAGACTACCCATCTTCAAAAAAGGCACATATATGGTTTTATCTGAGCAACATGTTGCAATTTAAAATGACACTTGAGCACTCGTTTCAAAATATGCATTTTCTCTAAATGATTTATAAAGGCAAAAAAATCTGTTCAAAAGACCATATAATCATGGCCTACACGTATACAAGTCATATACAATTCCCAAGAAGTCACGGGCCCCCAACACCCAGGGAGAATACAGTGGCTGCACAGAATGCCGACTCCAAGTCTGCGACGCCAGGCGCCCAGCAGGTGCCGCGGTGGCACAGCCCGGCCAGACGCGCCAGGGAAGTGTGTCTGCCGCTCCCTCTGACCGCACCGGCCTGGACTGGGCACGATGGTTTCGGCAGGAAGTGCACCGTACTGCTTACTAACTTCTAAAACCTCACTCTTTCACTTTCTCTCTTCTTAAACTATTCTTTCAGCTTGTGGAAAAACTAATAGTTGATTACAACTGTCAAACTTTTTCGAAGTGTTCACTTGTTCCCTTAACAGAGGAAATGATGAGAGACCGTTTTCCCCGCGGGTTAAGGACAACATACACCATATACTGATGTCAGCAGCTCCCAGGCAAGAATTCCATCCGGGCGCATTAGTCCTGCATGAGAGCAAGTTCAGGATCTCTGACATTCCTTTTTCCGAACCTTTGACTTTGGTGCTGTGAAAAGGACAGAAAAGAAAGAGAAGATGAAGAGGCAGGCCCAGGTCGGCCCCTCTTCAGCTCACCCCGACTTGTTTGACGGGAGGTACGTCGTACAGAGGAGGGGAAACTGACCATTCGGGTTTTCTTGTTTGTAGAAGGTCTTTAACATTTCCACTGCTTCCTCAGCCCGATATCCTGGGATGCACTGATGAAACGCAGAAACCGAGAATGAACGTTGGCCTATAACGTGGGCTGTATCCCATAAAAAAGCAATCTATACATACTTATGTGAACAGTTTCCAGGTAATGTTAATACGCTTTGTGGATATTAGTAACACAGGAATTGTGTTTCCGAAAGAATAGCTGTATGGCTTGTCGCCATCAACCAATTATTATTTCTCAGTCGACTGCTATCGAGGTTATGAGCTATGTGACCTCGGGTTAGGTTCTTAAACTCTCTATGCCTCGGTTTCCTTGTATGTAAAATGTATGTAATTATAGAAATTAACTTAGAAGGATTTGTGAGGATTAAATGAGATTAAATAAAATAATGCCTGCTAAGTCCCTGGTACATCATAAGGGCTCATAAGGATTAATTATTTTTATCTGCTCTTATTTACTATGGCCCGTAAGTGTTTGATGCTACAGAGCTATAGCTGGCTCTCCAGAGCTAAAATTGGTTAACTACAAAGGGTTTTTATATTTTTTAAGGGTTGTTAAGAAAAAATAAGAATATGCGACAGAGACATAAATGGCTCACAAAGGCTAAAATATTTACTATCAGGCTCTTTACAGAAAAAGAATTGTCAGTCCTTACTTACTACAGAGGATGTTTTACGTGTTCGGTCTGTGCTCTTTGGTACTAACTGGGAGGAGAGAGCACATGTGGAAGAATAAAAACTACGCTAACCGCAGGGTCTGAAAGTTGAACTTGCCTTCCTGGAGGAGAAATTTAAAGAGGCTGAACAGAGCACATCAGGGAAATCAGCTGATGGGGCGGGGGATTATTAAGGGAGTATAAGGAAAGAAATTAAAGAGGTAAAACAAGGTCAACAAGGCTCATCACAGGAGTTTGGACCTGACACGTTGCACCCTTCTGAGGTGCAGGGAATGATACAGAGCAGACGTCAGGGAGGCCCGTCCGGAGCCAGCACCGGGCACTGGTGGGCGTGGTCCCTGCTCACAACGAATGGGCCTCCCTTCCTCCCTTCCTCCGGGGCCTACAAAGGCTCCATAAACCTTTCCCATCAAAACAAATAACCTTTCGAATTTAACACTGCAGATTCCACATAGAAATGAGATCATTCAGTATTTGTCCTTTTCTGTCTGACTTAGCATAATGCCCTAGCGATCCATCCATGTTGTCACAAATGGAAGGATTTCCTTCTTTTTTATGGCTGAATAATATTGTGTGTGTGTGTGTGTGTGTGTGTGTGTGCGTGTGCGTGTGTGTGTGCGTCATATTTTCTTTATAGAAGCAGAGAGTAGAATGGTGGTTGCCGGGGCAGAGGGGTGGTGAAAATGGGGAAACCCTGGCCAAAGATTACAGCCTTTCTGGTGTAAGAGTCCAGGTCCCAGGAATCTAAGATACAGCACGACCACCCCAGGTAACAGTGATATGCTGTACACCTGACAGTGGCCATGAGGGTAGAGCTTCAATGTTCCCACCACAACAATGGTAACTATGTGAAGTGGAGGATGTGTTAACTCGCCTTATTGTGGTAAACATGGCACAATATATACATGTATCAAACCATCATGTTTTACACCTTAAATTTACGCAACGCTACATGTCGACTATATCTCAATACAGCTGAGGGAAAGGCACCGAATGACCTTCCCTCTACCTGGCCCCCAGGTAGGCTGCTCCGCTGCTGCCCCGGGAATTCCCCGAATCACAGCCTTCACTTTGGGGCTGTTTTCTTCCTCGCGGGCTTGTGCTCCCAGGACTCCACTGAAACTACCCTCTGAGATATCAAGGGCAGGAAAAATAATAATAATAAAAATACAGGTATTGATTGCTACACACTAAAAATAGTATGGGGCAATCAAGCAAAATTATTGACTTTGTGCAAAAATACTGTTTACGGTAAATGGCATCTACCCGTCACTGCCAGAGGCCAAGCTTCACCAACGCGGTGTGGTGTGGAGCCGGGGACTTCAGGAGCGGCACTGCCAACAGTGTTCGTGTCTTCAAACGCGCTGAAGCCTGGGTGAGGAGGCTCGGGGCGGACCTGGGAGGCGGGGCCCTCCTTCAGCAGGCTCTGCACTCTGAGCCAGGCCCTCCCCGCCACTGCCTGCCTGTCATCTCACCCCGGCACCGAGGAACTCGCCCAGGAGGCCCCAGAGCCGGTCTCGCTCTGCGTGGCTTCTGGTAAACCCACCACATGCTTACTGTTCGCAAGCCCATGAGCACAGTAATCAGGGAGACAGAAAAAGCAAAGCCTGTTACCTGAAACGGTCTCCCAGTGTTTGGTAAATCAGCAGAGGCAATATTCAGAACAGAGCCACAACCACCGAAACGTTCATTCTGACAGCCATATACAACCAGCGGGATTTATGAGAGAGAATTAAGGTCCTACAGAGAATGTGCAGTTCCAGACAGAGCCAGGGTTTACAACAGCCGTCCTGGGGAGGAAAGCCACGCCACTCTTAAAAACAATTAAGCTGAGGCTTAGGCTTAAGAATCATACAATCCAGTTACACAAAAGAGGTTTAAAGGATTTAGAAATTAATATCTCACAACTGCAAATGGAATGAAAACTTAATATGCAGCTGGCAAAAGTTTACCTTCGGTGTTCTCTCTAGTTTTTCCTAAATCAGTTTTGTCGGAATCATCAGAGGACTGGAACCAAAAAAGAGGCAGGAATTTAATCCAGAGATTTGCACCTTTTAAAAATAACAGATTGTCCCCTCTTCTTTCCCCCAAATAAAATACAACCTGTGCCCCGTACATAACAGACGAAAGCTGAGCCCCTGTGGAAGGCAGGATGGGGGAGAATTCTGTTGACCGTAACTACCCCTCTGTAAAGTAGAGATTGTACGTTTTATCATACTCAGAACCCTCTGCATTATTTTAAAGTGATCAAATGATTCACACATACATAGTTAAATAAGTAGACAGAAATATGCAAGTGTGAAACTGAGTTTTTAAATTATTTAGTAATCCTTAAAAATCTTTAGGCACTACTTTGCAGTGCTCAGTTTTGTGCCAACTCCACGAAAGACACAATTCAAAGAGCTGTACATTTACCAATTTCCTCTTAATTTACAGTTACATCACAAATGATTGGTTCGTTTGTTACTTTGTATTGACTTCTGACTTGAAATTTTTCGTATACAGCAAAAATAAAAACATATAAAACAGTCCTGGCCGGTTTGGCTCAGCAGTAGAGAGAGCGTCGACCCGCGAACCAATGAGTTGCAGGTTCGATTCCAGCCAAGGGCACATACCTCGGTTATGGTTCGTCCCCGGCCCTGGTCAGGGTCGTGCGGGAGGCAACCACTTGATGTGTCTCTCCCACATTAATGTTTCTCTCTCTCTCCCTCCCACTTTTCTGAAAATAAACAGAAAAATATCCTCGGGTGAGGAGTAAAAATCAATCAATCAATCAATCAATAAATCATATAAACAGAGAGAGAAATTTTTTAAATTACCAACATCTGTTATGCAAAGGCAAGACTTAGGTGCATATGCTTCAGACCTTTCCTTACGCACAGTTTTATAATCTGCTTTAACTTAAATTATGACTATCCTTCCGTAACAGTTCACACTGCTGCCAAGCTTTTCTTTCTCTAGCTTACTTACTAGCTGTACGTTTATAGGTTTTTTTCTAAAAGAGGTCATTTTACCTCTTTTACCATGTGTCAAATATTTAAAAATTTTTGGTCAAGGGATATTACATTTTATAATGTTCACCTCTTAGAATTTGTTTCTTAAGTCTCCGCTTTCACGGATTCGGGACAGGTAATGTGTCTGGCCACCTTCAAGTTCCCAGGGAGGGCACAGACATGAAGGCAGGAAGCCAAAGGATACTCATCAGGCGGAGCGCGGCTGCACACATGATGCAGGGCTCCACGGTGACGTACAGCGCCGTGTGCTCAAACACCGAGGACGGGCTCCTGCCACTTCGCCGACACCAGTCCAGGGCCTGATCGATGGCCACCATCTCTGCGTGTCGAGTGGCCTGAAGAGAGAGACGCTCGCCTTGACATTGTCTGCTCCATGTGACAGTACTTTGCAAATACTCAAAAATAAATACTCAAAGAAATGGGCCTATTGTTTCTGCCAACATTTGGAAGAATGAAGGTTAGCAGTTGACACCCCGTTCCCCAGCTCAGCTACCATAACCTCACCAACAAACACATTTAATCTGAAATGCTTCACGGATTATGCTCTATTTGTTGTTAAACACCTAAGAAGTTGGGGACACTCTTTCGGTTAAAATGCCACAGCACAGGTGTGTCGAGAAGAAAGACGAGCCTAGCATTTCTGAATGTTTTAGGGAAGCTTGACATGTTCATGAGCATGTGCTCCAGTTTCAAATGTGTTTTCAAGGCTGCACTGACCTCGCTCTAAGCAGAGCCAGATCCACTTTATGGGAATGTCTCACTTATATTTTCTTTGGGGTGCAATTTTCTATACTAGCAAACTTTAAAGAGAAGCAGCTTTTTGGTACAGGTCTCAGATACGCCATGTGGGCAGTAGAATACAGGAGAAATCACACAGCATTTGGAATCAACCACATTTAAATCTTAATCCTGACCTTGGCATTACTAATTATGTGGCCTTGGGCAAGTTACATATCTTCTCTAAGCTTTGGTTCACCCATGTGTAAAATGGGGTGTAATGGTATCTATTCCTCTTAAAGCAATCAGAATTACAGAAAGCACAGCCATAGAATGCTGTATAAGTACTCTGCTATGTGACAATCATTTATAATACACATGATCATCACATTTATCAACAAACTTATACTGAGTGTTAACTGTGTGTAAGCCACTGTGCTAAATTGTGTGGAATAAAAAGTCTCTGTCCTTAATCAGTACGAAGTCTGGCAGGGTGAACAGAAAGGTGCTCACTCACCTCGACGTAGGGCTGTCACAGGGGCTGGCACTGTGGCCCACGTACCACGAAAGCCAGGATTATAAACTCAGAGCCACGGGGACTTTGGGGAAGAGGTTCCCAAACCTGGCCATATACCAGAACCAACAGTGCAGCTTGAAGAATTTTCCCCAACTCAAGTGCTTTCAAAAACCAGATTCAGAATCACCAAATCAAATCTCCCCATAGTTCTCAATAAGTAAATTGTTGAACTGAATCATTTCAGTCAACTTCCTCTTTTATGGCTGAGGACCAGACGCTAAGACAGGATGTATTAAAGACACACAATGGGTCCGGCTGGTGTGGCTCAGTGGTTGAGCACTGACCATGCACCAAGAGGTCGCTGGTTCGATTCCTGGTTGGGAGACTGCCCAGGTTGTGGGCCAAATCCCCAGTGGGGAGCATGCAGGAGGCGGCCAATCGATGTTCTCTCTCATTGATGTTTCTATCTCTCTCTCCCTCTCACTTCCTCTCTCTCTAAAATCAATAAAGGAAAAAAAAATTTTTTAATAAATAAATAAAGACACACAACGGGACAGGTGATGATGGTGGCAACAGGGGTGGTGGTGGTATCAAAGTCAAAAGTAAGACTCAGGTCTCCTCATTTGGGGTCAGGAGTCTTTCTGTAGTGTGATTACAGGATCATCTTCTATAGGACACAGAATACCAAAATAAATCCCGGTTAATTTCAAAGTAAGAAGAAACACGGGTCGTTGGGTGCTTAGATGGACATTGTTAAAGATATTGTACTAATCCACAAAATACAAATAGGGAAATATGACAATTACCTAAAATACAAATATAATATCCCACATATAAGTCTCTATATATTCACTAATTGCTGTATTATGTTTATTATTTATCTCAGGTATTTTGACGTCACATAACTGCTTTGTGAACCTGTGTTCCCACTGCACATGTGTTTTGATAAAGCTCAGTTTTGTTTTTGATTAATAGAATGGATGGACTTGAAAGTCCACATAGCACCAGTACCAACACCTGCTCCTTCCCTGGCTCCCAAGATCACACAAGGTCACAGTCTGTGTGGGTGGGCTTCTGCTCTCCCCGAGTCCACCTAGTACTTCTTAGCATCATAAAATCTGAGACTTCATCTCTACTTACTGTGACACACTGTTGTGATTCCATAGTCAAGAAGTGTTGCCCTAATTCGTGAACTTCTCTACCTAAGCACAGTAAGTTAAAAGTTCCACAACCTATTAAAGTGTACATGCTCCACACAGGAACAGAGACCACAGGTAGTGGGGACCTCACTCTGCTGAACTATCTGAAACAGAACAGCTTTCTCATACACCCTTTTACAGTACTAAAGAATGGGATATGAGTTAAAGGCATGTTTTGTAAAGTGGAACATTCATATATTAGATTTGCTTAAAATGGAAGCAGGCTCATTTCTTCCACACTGACACTAATGTAAAAAAAAAAAAATCACCTCTTAGGTTTCACTGAAGTGTTCAGATAAAGCTCCATGAAATAGAAAACTAGCTCTGAAGGTTTTACTGGCTTATTAAACTTTTCTGAATTCTCCAAATTTTAAAAAGTCAACATGTGTCACTTTTAGAAGGAGGGGGAAAAAAGGATTTCAAAAGAGAGATGTTTAGGGAAACTACCCTTCCACTGACTCCTACAGACTCTGAACAGACCCCTCCTCTCGCGACTGTGGTAACTGCCCTCCTCTCCGGCCACTCTGCCCGGGGTGTCAGCCACACCGCTGGACTCACATACGTTTTTGGTTTGATTAACTTCATTTCTTCCCTTCCCCACAACTTCATTGTTGTAGACCATAAGGCAGCCAACAGGAACTTCAATACTTTCTAGGGCTTCTTTGGCCTGAAAAACAAAGTGGAAAATCGAGGAGGTGATGTTCGAGGCTCGACAGGACTACAGGGAAGAAACAGGCAGCCGGGGCGGTGGACACATGTACAAATACTAGAACAAAGAAATGCGGCTGACCTTCCCTTTCCTCAAACACTGGTCGGCACTCAGTGCCTCGTCCTCTGGGGTCCACGTTAAGGGAGGCTCGGGAAGAAATCCCCTCCGTGGGTCCTGAGCCCCTAAAGTTTTTGTCCTCGTTGGAAGCAGAGGTGATCAAAAGACTGTTACTGACTCTTGTTCTTAACTGCCAGGGTCTGTGCACCTTTTCAGAGAGCGTATAATTTATTTGCAAAGGGGTAGAATGAATAACTGTTATAAATCCTTTCTTTATATTCTTTCCTTGTTGAAATTCTACTTGCTTAATTTTGTTTCTCAGAAAATACCCTCCAGAGTTCCAGTAAAAAAAGGGGGTTTCGGCTCTGAGACCAGAACACTGAGGAGCAATCAATCCAGTGGAAGGGGCACAACCACTTTGGGGAACATTTTGGAAGTTTCCTTAACAAGTGAGCACATTGCCTATGAACAAGTTCCACTCCTGAGTATTTATTTAAGAAAAAACACTGTGTATCTACCAAAAAAAAAACAAACAAACTTGTAAAAGAATGGTCATAGCCCGGCTGGTGTGGTTCTGTAGACTGAGCATCGTCCTCTGGACTGAGAGGTCCCAGTTCGATTCCTGGATTCCTGATCAGGGCACGTGGGGGGGGGGGGGGCTAAAAGGCTTGAGCCCCAGTAGGGGGTGTGCAGGAGGCAGCCAATCAATGTTTTTCTCTCTCACATCGATGTTTCTATCTCTCCCTCTCCCTTCCTCTCTCTCTCAAAAAAGAATGGTCATTATAGCTTGATTCATAATAGCCCAAATCCGGAAACAGCTCAGGTGTTCACCCACAAAAGAATGGATGAACCAACTGTGGTCTATGCACACAACAGCACACTACTCAGCAACAAAAAGGAACGAAGTGCTGATAAATGCAGAACATGCACGAATCTCAGACATGCAGGTAAAAGAAGTTCAACACAAGGCATACATGCTGTATGATGCCCTTCACGAGAAGTACTAGACTAGATAACACTAAACTACAATCAGAGAACATGGAATGGCGGTTGCTTCATGGAAGGGGATGTGTAGATTAAATGAACCCAATAACAGCTGTTCCTAGAAATGCATGACAGTTCTTATTTTGGCAGACCAAGAGACACTTTGGAAGGCTAGGTTCCCAAGCAGGGCATACCCACACCATAGCGCACATGTACTGCATAGTTACAGGCATTGCTGAAAACAGTGTTCTATCTCCTACGCTGGCCTCTTACTCCTGGCTACACAGTATTTATAGTAGCAATAACTTCCTATCATAATGTTAACATGGGCTCCTTAGCTACTTCAAGCATGCTCAACTGACACTTTTCATTTAGCTGAGAGAGGGGACAAGAGAGGCACATAGTGGTGGCAAACGGAACCTCTCCTTCCCCCGGGTGGGGTAGAGCTGGGGCACAGTGACTTGGAAGGTGGCAGTATCTACAGCAACAAGTCTGCTTCTTCAGAACTGTGTCGTGAACTACCCACAGGCTACGTCTGTCCCAGTTCTGTAAAAAGGGGGAAAGCATGCCCAGTTCATGCAAAGTTGGAAAGTCTGAAGAGTCCCAAGGTTTGTGAACACACACAAATAAATATTTCCAATGCACCATAGGCTACTACTGAAAGGAAAGCCAGGAGGTCAGACAGCAGGGGAGTTACAGCAGTTATCAAAGATGTGATTTTTTTTTTCTTTTTTTAGAGAGAGAGAGAGAAACATCAATTTGCTGTTCCACTTATTTATGATTCTTTTTTTTTTATCCTCACCCGAAGATATTTTTCCATTTTTTGTACAGATAGGGTGGGAGGGAGAGAGAGGAAGGGAGAGAGAGAGAAACATCGACGTGAAGGGACACATCGAGTGGCTGCCACCCGCACGACCAACCAGGGCCGGGGACAAACTGCAACTGAAGTACGTGCCCTTAGCAGGAACCGAACCCAGGTCTCTCAGGACCGCAGGCCGACGCTCTAACCGCTGAGCCAAACCGGCCAGGGCTATTTATGATTCTTATATGTGCCCTGAACCTGCAACCTTGGCATGTCAGAATGATGCTCTAGCCACGGAGATACCCAGCCAGGGCCAACATTGTAATTCAAAATAAGCTTAGAGCCCTGGCCGGTTTGGCTCAGCGGTTAGAGCGTCGGCCTGCGGTCCTGAGAGACCAGGGTTCGGTTCCCGCTAAGGGCGCGTACCTCGGTTGCAGTTTGTCCCCGGCCCTGGTCGGTGGTGCGGGTGGCAGCCACTCGATGTGTCCCTTTCACATCGATGTTTCCCTCTCTCTCTGTTCCTCTCTCTCCCTCCCACTCTACCTGAACAAAAAAATGGGAAAATGTCCTCGGGTGAGGATAAAAAAAATAATAATAATAAGCTTAGAATTACACATAACCCCTGGTACACATGAGAGACAAGTCATTTATTTGGTCAACAAATATCTGTTGAGGATCCTGAGAGAAGGACACTACCCTGGCGGCCCTAAGTGCAACCACAGGCGCCCTTACAAGGGAGGGGCAGAGAGAGCCCCGGAAGGCAGCATGCAGTGTGGCAATGGGGGCGGAGAGAAGGGCTGGGCGACGGTACCCTGTTGGCTTCGAAGATGGAGGAAGAGGCCCTGAGCTGAGCAAGGAATGTCCCTCTAGATTTAACTGCGGTTCTCAACCAGTGGGTCGCAACCCCTTTGGGGGTCGAACGACTCTTCCACGGGGGTCGCCTAAAACCATCGGAAAACACATATTTCCGATGGTCTTAGGAACCGAGACACGGCTCCTCTGTCCATCTCCAGGGGGGTCCGCCCACAGGCAGACACGCCCACAGGCAGACACGCCCACACGCAACATGAGGAGCTGTATTACAGGGTGGCGGCATTAGGAAGGTTGAGAACCACTGCCTGGAATAGTGATTTTCAACTGATATGCTGCGAGAATTGTTAAAACATGCAATACCTGACTATTCAGTACGCGGCACTGACCTCTTTTCCCTTAGATTGTCCAAAAAATAAAAACTGATAATAGCCAATACAATAGCCATCCGGTGTGAATGAATAAAAATTATACCTGCCCTGGCCGGTTTGGCTCGCGGTTAGAGCGTCGACCTGCAGTCCGGAGAGACCCGGGTTCGGTTCCCGCTAAGGGTGCGTACCTCGGTTGCAGTTTGTCCCCGGCCCTGGTCGGTCGTGCGGGTGGCAGCCACTCGATGTGTTCCTTTCACATTGATGTTTCTCTCTCTCTCTCTGTTCCTCTCTCTCCCTCCCACTCTACCTGAACAAAAAAATGGGAAAATAAAAAAAATTATACCTAATTTTTTGGTCCGCTTGGCCAGAAATGTAATATGCTTTTAGGTGTGCGCAGAATTTTAGCAATTAGCGCCACGAGATGAGAAATGTTGAAAAGCACTGCTCCAGTATCTGGAAAAGCCAAGAAAACATACCCTGTCGAGCCTCCAGAGGGCGCTCAGCCCTGCTGAAACCCCTTGTGGCCAGAGAAACTAACTCCTGACTCCTGGCCTGCAGAACAAAAAGAGAATAAACTTGTGTTGTTTCATGCCACCAAATTTGTGATAATTTGTTACCAAATCCATAGGAAACTAATACACCTCATTAAGAGTAAAAAAACAAAAAAAAACAAGACAAACTAAAACTGGAAGAAGATAATTGCAAACCACATACTGAACAAAGATATCTAGTGCGCAGACTACGTAAAGAACACTTGAAAATTCAACATGAAACTCCAAACAAGGCCATTAGAAAATGGGCAAAATATACTAACAGACATTTCACCAGAGAAGGCAAATGGCAAATAAGTACATGAAAAGATGTCTACATCATTAGCCATCAGGAAAATGCAAATTAAAACCACAATGAGATAGCACTACACACCTATCAGAATGGCTAAAATGGGCCCTGGCCAGTTTGGCTCAGTGGTTGGAATGTAGGCCCGTGGTCCAGTGAGACCCGGGTTCAGTTCCCACTAATGGCATATACCTTGCTTGCAGTTTGTCCCTGGCCCTGGTTGGGGTTGTGCGGGAGGCAGCCACTCAATGTGTCCCTTTCACATCAATGCCCCTCCCTCCAACTTCCTCCCACTCTGTCTGAACAAAAATGGACAATTGTCCTTAAGTGAGGATAAAACAAACAAACAAAGAAACAAAAAAGAATGGCTAAAATGAAAAGTAAAAAACCCAAATGCTGGCGAGGCTGTGGAGAAAGCTGTGGAGAAACAGGATCACTCACACACTGCTGTAGCAATGTAAATGGTAGCCACTCTGCAAAATAGTTTGGCAGTTTCTTAAAAATCCAAACATGTACTTAACGTATAACTCAGCAACTGCACTCTTGGACATATGAAATCTTAGGACCATAGGTTCACACAATACATAATTTTGTATAAAGACACAAATGTTCATAGAGTTTTATTCATAATAACCCAAAACTGAAAGGAAATGACCCAAATGTCCTTCTGTCAGGGAACGCTTAAATAAACTGTGGTACATCCATACCATGGAATACCACACAGCAATGAAAAGGAATGAACTACTGATTGATGCAACCACTTGGATGAATCTCAAGAAAATTATGCTACATGGGGAAAGAAACCAATCTCAAAAGGTTACATAGGTTACATATTCTTGTATATAACATTCCTGAATGCAGAATTAGAGATGTGGAGAACAGACTAGTGGCTGCTCCCGGGTTTGGGCTTTGGGAGGGGGTGGTGGCCATAAAAGGGCAGCATCAGGGAACCTGTGGTGATGGAGCAGTTCTGGTGGCAATTAAACAAAACCAAGTATGTGACAAAATTACACAAAACTACACATACACATGCACACTCACATGAGTACATATACAGCTGATGAAACCTGAATAAACTCGCAGACTACATCAAAGTC